AGTACATTTGATTTATCAACATCGCTAAAGTACATTTGATCTATCAACATCGCTAAAGTACATTTGATTAATCAACATCACTAAAAGACTAATTGTATTAGCGACACCGCTAAAGTATAAATCTTGTTATCAACACCGCTGAAACACAGATTGTTTTATCAACATCGCTTTAGTATATTTCTTTCATCAACATCGCGAAATACATTTGTTTTAGTGAGGTCGCTATAAAATCTTGAGTTATCTACTGTTTTAGTATGTAGTTTATTTTATTTTCTAAATCAGCCATGTAATTTCTTTATCTCCGTCGTTGTAGTACCTCCGACAAATGTACTTTAATAATGCCGCACTACTACAGACTATCTGTTGCTAGACAGCCGCGCTAAAACTCTGTTGTCGGTTGTCTCGACAGCGTGCAAATGTGATTTTAAGACAGACAGATGGACCTTTAGACTGATAAATGACCCCCTAGCTGGAATACCAAGTGACCCAGTGGACACAGAAATGACCATTTGTCCGTCAAATGACCCGCTAGTTTGTGAGCTAACAGTCTGTTTTTTGTGTGACCTGCCTGCTTTAATGTTGAGTAAATATCGATCACCCGTTGATCGATATGTGACGTCACTCCGTCTGACAGGTTTAGATATCATCTATTGGAAAAATACATGAGTTATTTTTAGACAGGTTAGCCTTTTATGATTCGATATCTTCACGTTTTTTAATGTGATGTGTTCTCGTTTAGTTATGGGATATTATTACCATGTATTATTGGATGTTTTTTACGATTTATTATTGCATGTCATCGGATACGCGGTATCTTTATTAGTTATTATTAGCGCGGTTCGATACAGATTGGATTTTACAAACTAGCTACAGTTACTGTAACAATCGGCAGATGAAGTCATGCCTGACTTTCACAGTTTTAAAATAGTTGACTTTTATTTCAAAACAAAATTGTTGTTCTAAGTTTTCATTGTTCATCTGACGAAGACCTGAGGTCGAAACATTCTTTGTGTAAGGTTAACTAAGTTAACTCTTCTGTTTTTAACACTCATTGTTTTCAAATCCTCAGTAAGAAGGTGTGGCTAATCGACTAGTACCTGTATTGAGAGCTTTTGTTTAGTGTTTTCAACGGATTCCTTTCTACCAGAACTCCGTGTTACTTCATAGTCACATCACTCACATTGTCCGGCTGTATTTTTCTATCAAACTTGGTTTTCTACATCTTACAACTTGAAGTTACGAGAGTTTGGGGGGCGTGTCGGGACTGTTGATGTTGGTGCTTTTGTTTTTATCCTCCCACCCCTCACTCCAACTCACCCCCTCCCCAGCTTCTTACACCCTCCCTAACCTCAGCCGCCCCCCCCCCAGTATAAAACCAAGTCAAGACAAAGCTGTACCGTGACTTGGTCAATGAGACAGGTCAACAATTGCCTCCGTCAGTGCGTCATGTCAACAAATGGACTCAGTGGCTACAGCAGATCTCGCCCCATCAGGCCGACGTTTGAAAACCATTGGCTGTTGGTTCACTAAGGTGTTAGCCCACTGTCATGTTAGCCCACCACGATGTTAGCTCCCGGCGTATGTTTGCCCACGACTGAAAATATTTGCCCTCGTCTAAAAGATATTTGATCAGTTTTCCGTCAAGTTTCAAACGACATTCCTGCACACCTTGGTAACCTTGACGACCAAAGTTTTTATTTTTCATCCTTGGATCTACGTGGGCCTGTTTCCGTGGATGGTCGGTCTTTGAGGGCCCTTTCCCCTTTTTTGTTCATTGGTTCATATATGCCCCCCCCCCAATATATATATATGTCTATAATATATGGAGTCATTTCCACGTCCATGGGATATGTAGGCCCTTTTCTCTGTATGGGCTCCTTCCTCTTCAAAGGTTTATGTGCAATGCTGGCCCCATCCCCCGTCCATGGGTCTTTGTGGCCCCATTCCCCATCTATGTGTACCACAAGTTAACCTTCGGTACGTGACTGGGTTTTGAAACCAGTGTGCGATCAAAAGACTTGGCGACATTTGAAAACAAAGTACTTTATAAAGGGACATAACACGTCCACGTTACAAGTTGTCTTCCCCTGGTAGTAATGACTTTAAAGTGACTGAGTACCAAGGTCAAAGCTCGAAGCTTCGAATGACTCAAAAACGATCTTCTAGACTATGATTTACTTTGTTGTTGTTTTCGGTTATTTTTAATTGGCTGTGTTAGCCTAAATGTGATGAAAGTCACGAGTAAAAGAAAAGGAGGATGGGGGAGGGCTTTTGTTGTGGGGGGGGGGATGAGAGAGGGACAGTCTTGACAACATCACGGTCACGTCTGGCCATTTCCTGTGTCATTAAATTTTACAGGAAAAATTACATAATTGCTTCATATTATAATAACTCTTAAATTACATTAACTTTATTTTGGATCATTTTAATTTAGTATTTATTCTTCTAATTACGAGTTGGTAAATTATTGATATTTGGACGGAGGATGGGTCACATACACAAACATATAACCGTGGGAAAGATGAAACCATAGCTTCTCTCCCCCTGCCAATACTGTCCTAAAACAAAACAAAGGTCAATCTCAAATGTCAGTGTGTGTGTGTGTGTGTGTGTGTGTGTGTGTGTGTGTGTGTGTGTGTGTGTGTGTGTGTCAGTATACATGTGTGTGAGTCTATGTCAGTGTATGTGGGCGTGTATGTGCGTATGTGTGTGACGTGTATCTCCCGTTCCTATCATAGGTCTAGCCATCCATCTCAACGTTGAAATTTTTAATTGCCCATCTTAATCTCCCATCACCCCACGGGCCAGATCCCTCGGTACAGGCCGGGCTAAATTTGTGACGGGCCTCAAGTTAGGATGGGCGAGGGGTGGGGGTGGGTGGAGGCTGCCTGACGTCACATGATGGATGGTTCAGATGGTAAACATTCTGGTGTATCGGACATGGTAATCTGCAGCTTTAGCTGTTTTCATTTTGTTTTTGGGGAAATGGTTGAAACTCGTAATTTGGACATGGGTGACATATTAGTGGTGGATTGCCTAACAGTCAAATTAGGGTCTAGTTTTGAATGGTTGATACGCTCAAACCATTGTGATTGACATTAAACGTTGTCGCATAATGTTGCTGTTCCTGGATGGTGGATGTGGAGGGTCGACTTAACCGTAACTGAACTTAACCGTAACTGAACTTAACCGTAACTGAACTTAAACGTAACTGAACTTAACCGTAACTGAACTTAACCGTAACTGAACTTAACCGTAACTGAACATAACCGTAACTGAACATTTTATCAAACAGGATTCGAACCACATTTACGTCATTCTGCCCTCACCCTAACTCCACGGCAACCCCACCCTTCCCTCACCCCAACCCCACCCTGCCCTCACCCCAACCCCACCCTGCCCTCACCCCAACCCCACCCCACCCTGCCCTCACCCCAACCCCACCCTTCCCTCACCCTAACCCCACCCCACCATGCCCTCACCCCAACCCCACCCCACCCTGCCCTCACCCTAACCCCAATCTGCCCTAACCCCAACCCCACCCTAAACCACCCCACCCTGCCCTCACCCCAACCCCACCCCACCCCACCCTGCCTTCACCCCCAATCCCACCCTGCCTTCACCCCCAATCCCACCCTGCCCTCACCCTCACCCTAACCCAACCCCACCCTGCCTTCACTCCACCCCCACCCTATCTCCCACTACTACTAGCACAACAAAATGTTTATTTAGCTACACAAAAAAACGTAGTCAGCCCTTTTTACGTCTTTCGACCATCTGTTGGTGACGTTTGAAATATGATGTGAGGGGGCGGGTGTCATTAGTGTTTACACGCACATAATGTGTGAGCCCGCACACACATCTGACACACAAAACCCACACACCCACACCCTTTTTCTAAACTCTGTTACCCCAATATGGGCGGGGGGGGGGTGTGATCACATTTCGTAATCATTCGTATTGATAATATAGTTAACCCTTTAACGAGAAAAAGGTTCTAACTTTACACTATTCTTGCCTTAAGCGATACTCAGTTTTTAGAGTTAATGAGCTTTTGGTTTGGTTGTACCTAATGATAGCTCGGTATGCCCCCCCCCCACACACACACACACCCACACACATCTCCACTTTTTCTCACTTCCCCCCCCTCCCCCCCCACTATTTGATTGATATCCCGTCTCAGTGATCTACTATCTATACCAACTTATTGACCTTCCGGCTCTCCACGTATTTTATAATCTATTGATTGGAATTTAATTAAGTACGGGGTCATTGCTTCCCCAGATTAAATGAATAGCTGTTAGAAAATTAGGTTACATTCTGTCGCCCTCATCACGTGACATGAATATTGTATGCTCCACGATACATCAGAACGTGGCACAGGAAGTGTATGTTTGTTACTGTCCATGTTTCATACCTAACTTTGTCGTGAATTTTGTACTTCGTGAATTTTGTACTTCGTGAATTTTGTACTTCGTGAATTTTGTACTTTGTGAATTTTCACACGTACAAATAGTTGAAGAGTAATGTCTTCTTTATGTTGATACCACTTCTCTATGTCGATACCACTTCTCTATGTCGATACCACTTCTCTATGTCGATACCACTTCTCTATGTTGATACCAAGTCTCTATGTTGATACCACCATATGTTGATACCAGAACCCCATTATAGACAGGGTTCGTTATTTTTAACTGCAGACGTTTCAAGATGGCCGAAAGCCATTAAGTTAAACTTCACGTCTGCTGGGGTTATAAAAATGGCGCGTTGGTTTCCTTGTCTACGTGTATGTAAGGTTGGCTTTTTTCTGTACGACGTTCTCTCTCTCTCTCACACACACGCACACACACACACATACACACACACACTTCAGCCATTTCCGGCCAGCCGATCACGTGATATAAACTATAAACAGTTGTTTGTTTTTAAATGTTTGTGCATGTCAACGTATGTGGTTGAGCAGACTTGTCTAAACTGTCCGCCATTTTTTTTTATTCCAGCGCTGATGTCCGCCTGTTCCTGTCCTTAGACAACCCCAGGAATGTTCCAACTGTCACAGTCGACACTGCTGAGACAGATAAAGAGGACGAAGACGCAATGGTAGGTCTCAATGTATCAATCTGTCCGTCCGTCTGTCTGTATGTCTGTCTGTTTGTCTGTACGTCTGTCCAGCTGTGTGTCTATGTTGTAGTCTGTCTTTACACTATCTCTCTGCTACATATCAGACTCGAAGTCAAACCCACAATCTCCCCCACCCCTAAGCACCTCACCATCTCCCCACCACTAAGCACCTCATCTCCCCACCCTTCGGCATCTCAACCCACCCCTAAGCACCTCACCCTCTCCTCCACCCCTAGACACCTCACCCTCTCCCCCACCCCTAAGCACCCCATCATCTCCCCACCCCTAGGCACCTTACCATCTCCCCCCACCCCTAGGCACCTCACCATCTCCCCACCCCTAAGCACCTCACCCTCTCCCCTCCCTTAGTTTAACCCACCACCAACCACGGGTAGAATTTACTTTTAAATAAATCCCGTGAGCACCCAGCGCACTGGCTATAAATAGTAACAACAATGGCTGCACTTTAGTGATGTAAGGACGTGTTCCGGTTGGCCTTGATGTTAATTGAAATCAGCGCTAATGGAAACTTGATGCGATTTTCGCAGGAGACATGACCTCGTTGTGATCTTAGCTAATGAAAAAACGTGATCGGATCACACGAAGCGGACATTTTTATGTTACCATCACAACACCAACGGACGGGTTTTAGTTTTAATATTGCTTTAATCTTTTTAACAGTACATCTACTAGTATTATAATTATAACTTTTTATACTTTCTAAAATTATTATTATTATTTTATTTTGTTTATTTTTTTTATTATTATTAATTATTATCATTAGGCCTATCATTATTATTTTACTGTTATTGTTATTACTATTATTGTTGTTTTTGTTGTTGTTTTTACTGCTATTATTATCAAATATTAATTACTGTCATTGTTGCTATATAGGCCTAACAATCATTATTACAACTATTATTACTACTAATAATTTTTATCATCATCGTTACTGTGTTGGTTCATCACGGTGGTAGGGGGCGCTGTTTAGTGCCCTGTCGATGTGGGGAGCCCCCAACAGAAGCCAATAAAGCTCTAGTGGCGCCATCTGGTGGCGACATGACGTACTGACACCGCTAGTGTCAGCTGACGTTTAGAGCCGTGTACGACCTTGACCCTGTAATGGATCCGAGGACGGTTAATTAGGCCGGTGTAAACATCGTCTGCTGGTGGTGGCCCGCGCAGCTCACCCGGCTCGGCCAATCAAAAGATCGCTTTCATCTTTCTTCACTTGCTGAGCCAATCAACGGGAAGCAGTGGCGTAAGCAGGGTGGGGTGTTAGAAGAAGGTGTAGTAAAAGGGGTCTTCCCCCCACCATGGACCCCCAAAATTACAGTTCTCAGTTATAGTTCACTCATTTTAACCAGCTACATTGGACGTTTAAAGACACAAACACATCAGTATTGTGACTCCCGTCAGTCGAGTGACTCCTGCCAGTCACTTTTGCTTATAACAAATGCTTCTTGCTGTCACACAAGATATAAGTCCCGTTGTTTTTATTTAGCCTCTAAGCTAACAACGTTTGCCAATTAATTCAGAGAGCATTAATTACATTCTTGATTATTTACTGCATGTCGTGCAGTTAACACCAGTGTCCTCACGAACTTATCTAAATCCTGTCCACCCGAAGCTATAAAAAACTGAGTGGACTACTTTGTTCTGACCGGGCACTTTATCGTTTGTTTTCGCCTGAAGTCTGCACGTTATCTCGTTTTGAGTGACGTCACTAACCCGTGACCTTGATGAGATTCAGTAACCCTCACCCGACCTGGAAACTGGTCTCGTTACGCGATGAGAAATGACGAGATTTGCAGCTAGAGGCCGGCTCTGCCTGTTGAATCATTGCCTTTAAACTTGTGGGAAAAGGGGGGGGGGGGGTAAATTATCCGGGAAGAAGATAATTAAATGTTGTTTTTTTTACATTAAATTTGAGAATTTAATAATTAGTGTGACGTTGTTTGTCTACTTTTTTTCTTAACTAACTCATCTTGGCTTTTTGCGTGTCGTTAAATTAGCGGTTTAAAAAAAATCTACAAATTATTAACATCAAGTGGTCTGCATGCGTCATCGTTTTAAATTAGGGAAGTGTTTGAGATAATGACCCATGACCTGATCACGTGGTAGTGGTGTCGTCACGTGGGTAGAGACCGACCTTGTGACCCCCCCCCCCCCCCCCGGGTCAGCCCCACCCCAGGTGTCGCGGTCTTTCACTTGTTGATTGTCGTTTCAAAAATCCACATGGATTACATAACTTAACTGAATTTCTTCAAGGGACGTAACTCCATCTTTCTCAAGAAAGGGACAGTACTCGGTCTCTTTAAAAAATACTTTTTATCAAAAGTGCTCGAATTTTCAACCAACACCAACATCCCTAACCTGCATTAAATACCAACCATGGGGCATATGCCTTCTGTCTCGGACTACTGACCGCTCATGACGTCAGCGACGCCACACTCTGACGCTGAATCGCCCATACGATTAAGGACGTCTAAGAATTTAAATTCTCCTGTCTGTGTCAACAAGGCGATCCCAAGTTGTTTCCCATCAGACTTTAAATTGGCGTTAGCTCCCCTGCACAGTCCCCAATCCGGATCAGAGAGAATCGTCTCCCTTCATAAACTCGCACCAAATGAACCGAACCAGGCCAATTTTGTAGGAACCCATCAAACGCAGATGAATTCATTAAATATTTAAAAGTCGAATGTCTAGTTCCACGGCATCACTGCGGGGCGATATCAAAGCGGAATCAAACAGAATCTAAAAGTGGGATTTTCAAGGCCAAAAAATTGTGGGAAAACTCCACTCTTATGTGTGGAGGCTGATAGCCACGGCGTCAGTGTTTCTGTTCAGTCCCCCCCCCCCCCTGACCCAAATGCTCGACGGTTATGCTAGGGTTAAGTTAAAAAATTGTAACTACCAGACTCTCATGACATGATGATGTGACGTATTCTAGTCACGTGATCAGGGACTGATGTCTAAATGTAAAAAAAAAGTCGTTAAGTGTGTGCGACATGTGCACATGAACATTTACACATTGACTTGTAAACATGAACATGTACATATTGACTTGTGAACGTTAACATGTACACACTGACTTGTAAACATTAGCATGTACATATTAACATGTACAGACTGAAGTGTCCTCATCAACGTACTCACACCAACATGTGTACATTCACGTAATATATAAACAAAACAACACACATCTCATTGGCTTGAACTAGAACACATACATCACATACACACATATTCAACTTTACAACACACTGACAGCTGACACTTCATCAACGCCTGTTACCATTATTTACAACAGCTGTGTTGTAATTACTCCATGAATAGATTACAACATGTTCTTGGTAAATATAATACAGCCTTGCTAATACTAATGTAATTTGCTTGCGTTGTAACTTTGAGGGCAGTGGGGGGGGGAGTATTTTAGATGAAATTTTCTTTCTGATCAGTTTCTATTGCAAGTTCTAAATATAAACATCTGTCGTGTATTAAAACGAGGCTGTCTTAACACATTTAAACGAACGTGTATTGTTATTGAGCGCTAAATCGAAGGTCGTGGAAATAGTAGTTTGGTCCGTCGAATGTCGCCCAAAAAAGTAGTCCGTCGTCATAAAACTTTTGCTCTCCGTCATCCGTCGCCAGACAAGTACCGTCCGTCATCCGTCGCCAGACGTGCAGCATCAGTTATCCAGGGCGAGGTATAACCTTTAACGTGGGAATTACGGCCGGGACAAGCAGACGTTTTTTGTGCAATCGCATCACAGAAACAGATTTGGCCGTCCATCACAGAAACAGATTTGGCCGTCCATCACACAAGTAAATTTGGCCGTCTTTTATAGGAGCTTTGGCCGTCCATCATAAATATAGCTTTAACCGTCTATCACTGGATCTCTAACCGTCCACCACTGAAGGATCTAACCGTCCACGACTGAAGGATCTAACCGTCCACCACTGAAGGATCTAACCGTCCACGACTGAAGGATCTCTAACCGTCCACGACTGAAGGTTCTCTAACCGTCCACCACTGAAGGATCTAACCGTCCATCACTGAAGGATCTCTGACCGTCCACTACTGGAGGATCTCTAACCGTCCATCACTAAAGGATCCAACCGTCCACTGTCTGTCAGTTGACCAGACCTGCAGGGGCGATCATGTCTGATTCCCATGGTTGGACGGAGACACAACTGACAAGTGCAGTAACTCGTGTTAGGAACATATTTTTTTATATCTTGTAAACTATACTTGACATTACATTATCTCCATCACATCGTGAATGGTCGTGTTTTTCTCTCAGTCTATGAGCAGGGTTGATGTGTTCTGATATACATACATCATCTCTGTTACGTATTTAACCAAATGCTAGAAAAGTTCAATATTTTTATGAAACTGTTTAAAAAGTGAACAATTTGTTTTTGTTAACTTCTTAAAACGGCTAACATGTTGTTTTTGTTAATTTCTAACATTTGTTTTTGTTAACTTGTTAAAACGGCTAACATTTTGTTTTTGTTAACTTCTAACATTTGTTTTTGTTAACTTGTTAAAACGGCTAACATTTTGTTTTTGTTAGCTTGTTAAAACGGCTAACATTTTGTTTTTGTTAACTTGTTAAAACGGCTAACATTTTGTTTTTGTTAACTTGTTAAAACGGCTAACATTTTGTTTTTGTTAACTTGTTAAAACGGCTAACATTTTGTTTTTGTTAACTTTCAGAACGGCAACAAAGACGAGAACCCGGTTAACCTGGGACCCAGCGAGAAAACGACGTAAGTCACGTGACTGGGTGCGACATTGTCAGGACAATCGTCTTTTATTTCACGACATTGCCTGGACAATCGTTTTGTTTCTTTCTGGCTTTTATTACATGACATTTCTTCCAAATTATATTCTTTCTTAGTATATTTTTATTTTATTTCACGACATTGCCTTCACTATCATATTCTTTCTTAGTATATTTTTATTTTATTTCACGACATTGCCTTCACTATCATATTCTTTCTTAGTATATTTTTTATTTTATTTCACGACATTGCCTTCACTATCATATTCTTTCTTAGTATATTTTTATTTTATTTCACGACATTGCCTTCACTATCATATTCTTAGTAAGTGTCTTCTGTGATCGATTCTATGAGCTAGCCAGATCAACTAGATCAGCCACCATTGATTGTATGTTTTGTTTACAGAGTAAAGCCAAAAGACTTCGAATTTCTGAGGGTCATCGGGAAAGGTAGCTTCGGCAAGGTCTTGCTGGCCAGACACAAGGCTGAGGGGAAGATCTATGCAGTCAAGGTCTTACAGGTAATTACTAATTATAATCAGAAGTCATGCTGTTACAGGTAATTACTAATTATAATCAGAAGTCATGGCGTTACAGTTAATTACTAATTAAAATCACAAGTCATGCTGTTACAGGTAATTACTAATGATAATCAGAAGTCGAGGTGGTACAGGTAATTACTATTTATAATCGGAAGTCATGCTGTTACAGGTAATTACTAATTATAATCAGAAGTTGAGGTGGTACAGGTAATTACTAATTATAATCAGAAGTCATGGTGTTACAGGTAATTACTAATTATAATCAGACGTTTAGTGTACTCCTGTCCAAACGACCAGAAGACAATACAGTATCCTATAAAGTTATGTTTACTACAAGTATCGCTGTTAGGGTTAGGGTAAGGATTGGCGTTCTGGTACGGGTAAAGACTAGGGTCAGGAATAGTGTCATTTAGCAATACTAGCTAACTATAGCTTCAGTACACCCTGACACTAATTTTAATTGTATTTTTGTATGGCTTTGCTGTTGGAGAGCACGCTATAACACGTGTCTAAATTTAAAAAAGAATACTTGGATATGCTTCATTTTACAATGGTTACATAATTTGTTTCGTTTCATGTTTTTAATGTGTTGTGTTTTTATTCTCCCACAAAGAAACAAGCAATAATGAAACGAAATGAGGCGAAGCACATAATGGCCGAACGCAATGTGCTGCTCAAGAACGTCAAACATCCATTCTTAGTCGGCCTACACTATAGCTTCCAGACTCCAGATAAACTCTACTTCGTCTTGGATTACGTCAACGGAGGAGAGGTAATGCGCAAATATCTGTGTGGTCTAGCCAAATGTCATGTTTGTCGCTGATTATTTTTTAAAATTGTAGGCCAAAATATTATTTTCAAAAGAATGTAAACATTGACATTAATAAAAAAAATTATTCTTTGATCATGGTTAGCTTTTGTTGTCCTGTGATTGGTTGTTTTTACAATTCATTTTTTTATATTAAACTCTACCTCCCCCCTCCCCAGCTATTTTTTCATCTCCAGAGGGAAAGGTTTTTCGCTGAACACCGAGCAAAGTTTTACTCTGCTGAGATGGCCAGCGCTCTGGGGTATCTGCATTCCCTCAACATTATTTACAGGTACGTTTTACATTCCCTCAGCATTATTTACAGGTACGTTTTACATTCCCTCAACATTTTATACAGGTATGTTATATATTCCTCAACATTAGATTCATGTATGGTATACATTCCCTCAACTTTATATGCGGGTACTTTATAATTTCTATGTTATGCGACAAGCTTACATTCCCCTACATTAAGCTATAGGCCCACATTCCCCTACATTAAGCTATAGGCCCACATTCCCCTACATTAAGCTATAGGCCCACATTCCCCTACATTAAGCTATAGGCCCACATTCCCCTACATTAAGCTATAGGCCTACATTCCCCTACATTAAGCTATAGGCCCACATTCCCCTACATTAAGCTATAGGCCCACATTCCCCTACATTAAGCTATAGGCCCACATTCCCCTAAATTAAGCTATAGGCCCACATTCCCCTACATTAAGCTATAGGCCCACATTCCCCTACATTAAGCTATAGGCCCACATTTACCTACATTAAGCTATAGGCCCACATTCCCCTACATTAAGCTATAGGCCCACATTCCCCTACATTAAGCTATAGGCCCACATTCCCCTACATTAAGCTATAGGCCCACATTCCCCTACATTAAGCTATAGGCCCACATTCCCCTACATTAAGCTATAGGCCTACATTCCCCTACATTAAGCTATAGGCCCACATTCCCCTACATTAAGCTATAGGCTCACATTCCCCTACATTAAGCTATAGGCCCACATTCCCCTAAATTAAGCTATAGGCCCACATTCCCCTACATTAAGCTATAGGCCCACATTCCCCTACATTAAGCTATAGGCCCACATTCCCCTACATTAAGCTATAGGCCCACATTCCCCTACATTAAGCTATAGGCCCACATTCCCCTACATTAAGCTATAGGCCCACATTCCCCTACATTAAGCTATAGGCCCACATTCCCCTACATTAAGCTATAGGCCCACATTCCCCTACATTAAGCTATAGGCCCACATTCCCCTACATTAAGCTATAGGCCCACATTCCCCTACATTAAGCTATAGGCCTACATTCCCCTACATTAAGCTATAGGCCCACATTCCCCTACATTAAGCTATAGGCCCACATTCCCCTACATTAAGCTATAGGCCCACAATCCCCTACATTAAGCTATAGGCCCACATTCCCCTACATTAAGCTATAGGCCCACATTCCCCTACATTAAAATTAAACAGGTCCACATCTCCTACGTTATGCTATCGACCCAGATTTCCCCTGCAGGTATTTCCAAGCATTTCCTTCACCAAGACTCAACTATAACTACCTACTAACAACTATAACTACCTACTAATCTCACGTTAAAGACCTTTTTAAGTGATATTTTTCAAATCTCTTCTGGAGAAAAATAACGAACTAAGACAGTATTTATGTCTATAATACCGAACCAAAACCGAAAGTAAATTGTTTTGAACTTAGTTTTTGAAACCTTAAGCTTCTGAGCCTCATTACATCGTAACACTAATGCAAACATTTGTTTTTAAAACCTGAAGCTTGTGAGCCTCATTACATCGTAACACTAATGTAACCACACCAGGAAGACCTACTTCTCCAGCTGTCACCTGACTAGAAAGAACTCGTTACTCATAGAACTTGTTTTGTGTCGCACATTTTTTAACTTATATTTTTAGATGCGGTAGAATCCTTTTTTTTTAACTTAATGTTCTAGTCACGTGACATAAGGTGGTAGGGGTGGCTGGGGTGGGGTTATGTGTACGGTATTTCCTTGTTCGGATCTTTGTGTTGCTGTGTGGTCAGGGCGATGGGGTCTATTAAGAACCGTTGAAAGGGGGGGGGGGCATGTCATGCTGTATGTGAGAATAGTTGAAGGGGGAGGGGGGTCTGAACCAACCTCTGTGGTAAGGTCACCTGTACTTTAAATGTTTTTTCCTAAGTAGAACGCGAATACCATTCAAGTCTAGTTACACCAGGAAAACAATAGGTTTTAAAAGTACCGTCAAGTTTGCTAAACTCGCACTGTGGGCAGGGGGTTGGGAGGTGGGAGGTATGACGTCAGGAACCTTGACCTTCAAACTAGTGATAAGATTTTATTTTAATTACCTTGTTTTGCTTTTTTTTTTTATTTTTAATTAAAAAATGCAATGTAAAAGTCGGACTTGGATTTTTGTAGTCACCAAGTTCAAAGTTATATTTTAATGAGATTACATAAATTTTAAGTAGACATATAAAGTTTCAATGAGGTGACGTCAATTATAAGTACATCCGGCTATTGAAATTGATGGTTTGAATCATATTTGTAATGGAATGTTGGATTGGTGGCAATAAAAACATGGATTTTATTATATTTTTTCCATGTGACGAAACAAACCGTTAGGTTTACCCTGGGGGCAGTGACGGCATATATCTGGGCACATCGTGACCACGAACAAACAAACAAAACAAACAAACACATCTGTTTACTTGTTGTTGTAGTGAAGTAGCTTCCTTCATATCCGTTTAGCTTAATTATTAATTAACGCAAAGTGTGTGTTTTTATTATTTAATTAAATTACCGGTGTTTACAGATTTCAGGTTTAATTATGAACTCTTAATGTGATTAATGGATTAATTGTTTTCGTGGCACAGTTAATGTAGAAATTTAATGAAACGATTCAAAGTTCAAGAATGTAACGAAGTACGTGTGGGTTATGGAACTTGGACAAAGTTGTCCTTGGTTCAAATGTGTAGGTTTAAAGTCATGTGATGGAAGCTGGGTTTAATTGTTTTACAAAAAAATAACATATAACAACGATAGTACATAAAAACTCTCATACTACCAAACTATCATCATGTCATACAATCCTCATTCAACAACACAATCTTACAAAAATAGCATTCAACAAACCCATTGTCATACAACACAACAATCATACGACATTACAATCATCACATGACACCACAATCGTTATACGTCACAATCATCATACGACACCACAATCATTATACGACCCCATAATCATCATACGACACAACAATCATTATACGACACCACATTCATTAGACAACATAAGTATCAATCATAAAAAAAGAATGTTTTTAAACTGGAAAATAATATTTGTGGACTCTTGCCCCATGAGCAAAATGCTATGTATGGTGGTGGGGGAGGGAGAGGGAGGGGTCGTGTTTATTTCCTTGAACCTCAAGTCTTCCAGTACCTCGTTTAAAATTTTTAAAAAAATTGTTGACGTGCACACATCACATAGATGGGGGGGGGGTTAGGTGCTAATGACGTGCTGCCCTTGTACAATCGCTCATGGCTTATAGATGCAGGCTATGCATTTGGTATGATACAACGTCATTATCCTCATTTGGTAGGCTATCAAGGAGAGTTATGACGGGGACAGGTAATGATGGGGGAGGGGGTGGGGACAGTTAGGTAATGACGGGGTGGAGCGGAAGTTACGTAAGAATGGGGACAGTCAGGTAATGATCGGTTAGGTAATGATGGGGACAGGTCGGTAAGGATGAAGACAGCTAGTTAAAGTTGAAAACAACGGAGCTATGATTGAGATAGCTGGGTTAACAAACTAGAACGATTGCTACTCTCCATCATGGAAGCAGTTCGACCTGACTGTATCTTCTGCTAGAGCTCCCCAGCAGTCAACAAATTACAAGTAGAATCCAATGTTACCAAAATATTTGGTCACTTACTCACTTAGTCTAACTCAGCCACCCCACCCCCACAACCCCTCTCCCGGGAAAAAAAGAGAAAAAAAAACTGTAGAGAAAAAAACAAAATTCAGCATAATTTGTATGAGCAGATTCACTAGGTCTGACCCTAATTTATATAAACATTTAGCGTAAAAATAAACTTAAAAACAAAAACACTAAAGTGATGAACTACTTCACAACGAAACAATCCTGTACATGAAATGTCACGTCATTTGTTGCTAAATCCTAGTCTTTCATTCTTAAATTTTACCACTCTGTCTGGGCTATTTTTAGCTACCGAAAACATCCTTAATAAATAAAAAACCTTGACGAAACGGCTCTACTCCTCAGGGGACATAACTCTCCAGCGGAATGCTGGGCAAAGGTGGACGGGAAGTAGTCGCTCTTGTTCTTTTAATAACCCACCGACAACCAAAATGGTGACAGGGGGGTCACGGGGTTAAGGTTTATTTCCGCCCAAAAGCTGGCATAGTGAAAGAAGAAGAACATTGGGTTTGCGTGTACATGTGTATATGACATGTTTGTTAGTGTACACATTTGTATGCGTGTCGGTTTGTGTTGGGGGTGTCGCGGTGATTTGGTCATTTGTCTGCGTCGGCTCCAGTACGCAAAAAAACCCGAACGCGTTTTAAATTAATTTAATTAATTTAATGTTGACTTTAAATTGTTTTTTAATAAGCCTAGGCTTCTTCCCCCCCCCCATCCCCACTCCCTATTATTTAAAAAAGTGTACATTTTAATATCACTCCCACACGCTGTATATACTTTAATTTGGGCTGGTACTAAAAGGGTTAATCATTTTGTAATATCACCCCCACACCCTGTGTATACTATAACTGGGTTCTGGTACTAAAAGGGTTAATCATTGTGTTACAACACACGGCTGCGCCTTTATTGACGAGCGGTAGACTCTGATTAATGAAGACACGTGGTCTTGTCTGTCAGACTTAACAAATTAATTATGACTCTATATATAGATTATTGAGGGTAAATTTAGCCTGTTTAGTGCTATTTTTAGTTAAAGTGTTAGGGTTTTGTTATATTTTGGATCGTTATTTGTTGTGAAGATTGAAAAGGTCTTTAAAGTTAAAGACCTCTACGACATCTGTATTGGGTCTATACACGACCCAGCCAACGCCCACCCCGCTACCAACTCTATCTCCCACTATTGAAGCACTCATCAGTCAATTTTTTCCAGCTTTGTATTGTAATAAATTGCAGCCCTAAATAAAACAAAAATAATGTAATTGTATTTTCTTTTTTTTTAACAGAGATCTCAAACCAGAAAACATTCTGCTCGACTCAACGGTAAGTTCTGATAACTAGTTACACCACATTCATGTTTCATTTTTTACTGCTGCTTAAATGCAGGAAAATGTGAATAATTTTTGTAATACAGTTTATAATAAGCTTGGTAACGTAGGTTTATTTTGTACTGCTTACCTGGAACTTTATTTCGTTGTCGTACGTAACCTTGGCCCGTCATTTTGGTTGTAGTTTTTTATAAATTGAACGTGTTGAGAGATTATTGACTGTAAACAGATCCAGGTTTAATTGGATTCTCCTGATTAATGATGCGCTTGACATAATGGCTGACAACGCGGTAATTTAGAAAATTAATTTAGGGTCAAATTCGAACAAGCAGGAAAACCAGATGTGTTTTGCAGCAATTTGTGTCCTGATTCCTTTTGTTTATTTTAGATTTGCTCTTGTTAAATAGGTCTATTCGTTTTTAAAAATAGAAATGCCAGTAACGCTAAAAATAGATGAACAAATATTTTGATTTCAAGCTTTTAGCCTACTATGTTTAGCCATTTTATGGGTATATTTAAAAGTAGTGACGCACGCATTTATAGGCTATTAAAATTTACTAGCAGCAGTTAAGGGGTTAATGGCGAAAACACGATATATTGGGAATGGAAAAAATTGTATGTTCTAGAGACGGTAACACAATGTAAGTTTAACCTGTAACACAATGTAAGTTTAACATGTAAGCCAACAAACAATCGAAGTTGTTTGATTCCTGTTCGGCTGAGTATTTGATCATTGGGCAGGGGAAGGGGGTGATTTGCAAATGTTAGCCATTTATCATACAGTTTTTAACTGCTGGTTACAGTTTCCGCATGATGCAGCTATTATAGCGACTAACGATTTGTTTTTTACTCAATGTGTGGTAAAAATTGAGTATGGAAACTTTTTTAACACCTTTAGTGTTTAACCTTTGTTGATTTTTGTTATGTTTTTGTTATGTGTGTTCAAGTTGTGTTGTGATTGTTTTTATATATGTAAAAATGTTGTTGTGTTTTTTGTAATGTTTTAAACGTGTTTTTCTTATCTCCACCACAGGGTCACGTGGTCCTGACTGACTTTGGCCTTTGCAAGGAGGGAATTGTGGGTCAGGGAACGACGTCAACTTTCTGTGGAACACCCGAGGTAAACAGAGTTGCACATCACCTTGTGTCACATCACCTTGTGTCACCTCGCATTGTGTCACCTCATGTTGTGTCACCTCACAGTGTGTCACCACATACTGTGTCACCTCACGTTGTGTCACCTGTCACCTCACATTGTGTCACTACACATTGTCACCACACATTGTGTCACTTCGCATTGTGTCACCACACATTGTGTCACCTCGCATTGTGTCACCACACATTGTCACCACACATTGTGTCACCTCATATTGTACCACACATTGTGTCACCTCACGTTGTGTCACCTGTCACCACACATTGTGTCACCTCACGTTGTGTCACCTGTCACCACACATTGTGTCACCTCACGTTGTGTCACCTGTCACCACACATTGTGTCACCTCACGTTGTGTCACCTGTCACCACACATTGTGTCACCTCACGTTGTGTCACCTGTCACCACACATTATGTCACCTCACAATCATGTTTCTCACATCTAAGCTCCTCACTGCATCTACCTTATCATTCAGCTCTGAAGTTTTCTCGACTTTTCCATCTTCCCGTTTCATCTTTTTCTCTTATTTTTATTATACTTGAGTCGCCTGTATGTAGAGAGTTGCAGTAGGATATTCTTGAAGTATAATATTGGCTTTTGGAATTATCCTTGTGGCAGTTGAAGTAGAGTTTATGTTTCTCTGACCTCGGAAAATGAAGTGATAGTGTGGTCAGCACCATGCTCATTAGCCTTTACTTTCCTCTATTCGAGTCCGACACCCATCAAAGTTGGGTGGACGCAGAGACGTCCTACATATGTATAAATGTTGCCAACCAGTATACATGCTGCCAGCTATATATGTATTAATATTACCAGTTTTTCTTAAATTTGAGAAAAGATGCATGTTTGTGTTGCTGCGCTGTTCCGATTGGACAGCAGCTAAATGGGGGGTTGTAATGGTGGGGGTAAGTGATGTAGCGCAGTATGACGTCATATCCTGGTGACAAAAACGGTACATCGCAACCTAACAAATCGCTTTTTTTTAAAAAAAGTTAAAGAAGTAGATCTAACAAAAAAAATTAACGAAACAATTTTTTAAATGAAAGTGCAAGTTGAATATATTGGTTAGGGACCCAACATTTACAAGCTTATCACAAAAACCACCACAAAGACCAACCCATTCCTTCGGAACAACACTCGCCCCACCACCTCCCTCCCCCCTCCCTCCCCCCCCCCCCCCCAGAGGCGTAGTGACCCCTCCTGGGGACAAACTTTCAATTTGGCGCCCTCCCCCCCCCATATATTTTTTATATTTATAATTCAAAATAGCTGCTAAAATGAGCTTATTTTGGCGCCCGGGGACATATGTACCCCCCCTCCCCACGTCACTACGCCTTTGGTCCCCATCCCCCGCATTTGCATTTCCTGCACCAACACCATCTATGCCTATCTAGACGATATCTGCATGAACTTGTCTAATAGAAACGGACCAAAACACAATAAAACATTTCAGTGTCACAAATTTAAATAAAATTACCTTGAACTTTATTTACTTTTGAACAAACGGACCTTGAATCTAATTCACCGGCCTTGTCTGACACTATGCCAGGCAATGAAACCGTAGAAGTAAGTGTTATGTGTTTGCATGTTTTTAAAGAAGGAATGTCAAGGCGACCGGACGACGTACGACATCCGGGGAACTCGCGCTTGACAAATTCTGAAGCTCGCGCTCGTTGAGTTATAAATTTCAACTTCCGCTGTGGACATGACATTTATGCTGAAACGAAAATAACTCATATCTTTTCTCTCAAAAAGTAATAAAAAGTGTTATTACGAAATAATTCGAAATATTTTCGTTAAAGTGCGCTTTAAGTTCCTAGATTCTGGATTTCGGAAATATTTTTATAGTTCTGGCGTCTGGTGTCGTATTAGAATCGGATTAAAAATTAAGACAACATACTCGTATTTTTTAGCGCAATTTCCATTCTGGAGAATTGCGTTTATTAACTCGTCTTTTCTGGGAATGAATGGATGAATGGATGGATGGATGTGTGTCCGCAGCTTTAAGTCGTATCTCCTCCTCAACGAAGCAATATCGAGGACTAGTTCCAAAAGCAATTATGTTAAGCAAGTTACGAGGATGAACATAGGCCATAAAAATTCCGGGTTTCTTTCATGGATTTCCCGGAAAAGCCATAAAACCTCGAAAAAATGTAGTTTTTGGCCCATAACTCGGCAACCAGACTACTTAGCGACTTGAAACATGTACCAATCGATTCCTGCCATAATTTAGAACAATATTGCCGAAGAAAGTTTTCAAAAATATCCTTTCGTTTGGTCACAAAAAAAATTTTGAATTAATTAAAATTTGGACCGAATTAGTAGGCATTTTATGCAACCACACCACACGCGTCATCACGTTCAATAGCTGCGCCATCACGTTCAATGGCTGCGACGTCACGTTCGGTAGCTGGGCGCGCAGTGGTTTTTAGTCATGTTACTCTATTGTAAATAAAACATGTAAAATACTGAAAAAAAATTAATAAAAAACGTTTTAATAACTAACCGATGGTTTTACTAACCCTGCTCTTGATTTACGCTACGACAGAGCTATTTTTAGATAACACAAGGAAATTGCGCTAAAATTGTCACTAGACTTTTTTTAATTACTTGTTTAAAGTACAGAGTCAATTTCTCTAAAACAAAACTTTTTTATTTATTTATTTATTTGAAAAAAAAACGTCTTTGGGGTTATAATCAGGGTTTCTTTTTAAAATTTTGCTCCAGGAGGGGGGGGGTGAAATTTCCAGGGCGAGGATCAAAAAGTTGTAAATTTAATCCTTTTTTCCTGTTTTTTTGTCCGATTTGTCCGTGAGTGGACGTACATCGGTGTAGGGAGGGGGGGTGGTAATTTTCCTGAAAGAAACAATAAAGGCCAGCTTAAAATACCATTGTTATGATCAATGTTATTGTAGATTACTAGGAAGAGAATTTCCTCCCGTTAAAGCCTGACCAGTGTTTTGATCTGTAACATTTTTTTTAAACAAACATTCACAATACGATGCACATCAAGTTTTTAACATTTCTGCTTTTTTTCTATTACAGTACTTGGCACCGGAAGTGTTACGCAAGAAACCGTACGACAAAACCGTGGATTGGTGGTGTTTAGGTGCCGTCTTGTATGAGATGCTCTACGGCCTGGTAAGTGCAGGCAGTTCGTTTGTAATATTAGCATGTGGATGTTCTGTGTGTGGTTGTGTAGGCTAGTGGGTCTCGATGTTGTGTGTGGATGTGTAGGTAGGTGGATGTGGATGTTCTGTGTGTGGTTGTGTAGGTAGGTGGATGTGGATGTTCTGTGTGTGGTTGTGTAGGTAGGTGGATGTTCTGTGTGTGGTTGTGTAGGTAGGTGGGTCTCGATGTTGTGTGTGGTTGTGTAGGATGTGGATGTTGTGTGTGTGGTTGTGTAGGTAGGTGGGTCTCGATGTTGTGTGTGGTTGTGTAGGTAGGTGGATGTTCTGTGTGTGGTTGTGTAGGTAGGTGGATGTGGATTTTCTGTGTGTGGTTGTGTAGGTAGGTGGATGTTCTGTGTGTGGTTGTGTAGGTAGGTGGATGTGGATGTTCTGTGTGTGGTTGTGTAGGTAGGTGGATGTTCTGTGTGTGGTTGTGTAGGTAGGTGGATGTGGATGTTCTGTGTGTGGTTGTGTAGGATGTGGATGTTGTGTGTGTGGTTGTGTAGGCTAGTGGGTCTCGATGTTGTGTGTGGATGTGTAGGTAGGTGGATGTGGATGTTCTGTGTGTGGTTGTGTAGGTAGGTGGATGTTCTGTGTGTGGTTGTGTAGGTAGGTGGATGTGGATGTTGTGTGTGTGGTTGTGTAGGTAGGTGGATGTTCTGTGTGTGGTTGTGTAGGTAGGTGGATGTGGATGTTGTGTGTGTGGTTGTGTAGGTAGGTGGATGTTCTGTGTGTGGTTGTGTAGGTAGGTGGATGTGGATGTTGTGTGTGTGGTTGTGTAGGTAGGTGGATGTTCTGTGTGTGGTTGTGTAGGTAGGTGAATGTGGATGCTCTGTGTGTGGTTGTGTAGGTAGGTGGGTCTCGATGTTGTGTGTGGTTGTGTAGGTAGGTGGATGTTCTGTGTGGTTGTGTAGGTAGGTGGATGTGGATGTTGTGTGTGTGGTTGTGTAGGTAGGTGGATGTTCTGTGTGTGGTTGTGTAGGTAGGTGGATGTGGATGTTCTGTGTGTGGTTGTGTAGGCTAGTGGGTCTCGATGTTGTGTGTGGATGTGTAGGTAGGTGGATGTGGATGTTCTGTGTGTGGTTGTGTAGGTAGGTGGATGTGCCATGGATGTTTTGTGTTCAAGGTGAAAGGATACAATGTTTACATGTAGATGGCAGTGAGTGTGTGTGTGTGGTGGGGTGAACTTGTCAACGTGCAGGTATGATGCGGATGACTCACTTCCTGTTAAAGTAAAGTTTAAAGATGTGAAAAGTTTAGTGGTTCTGCTGTCACAATCAAAATGTCAAAATTTGTTTTAAAATATCCTGTCCTGTCACATTTGTTGTGATTAATGGATGTTATGGCTAGGGGAGGTAACCGGATTATTTTTAAAGTCATAAACCGCTTTATCTGCCTTCAATTTAAAGAGCTCAAACCAGGGGAGACAACCAATTTAATAAAAAACGTTTTTGTCGTTTCAGCCCCCTTTTTACAGCCGAGACACGGCTGAAATGTATGACAACATTCTCTTCAAGCCTTTAAGACTCCGTACAAACGTTTCGGCTGCTGGGAGATCTCTGCTAGAGGGAGTAAGTAGCACAACCAACATGATATATTGTTATCAGATAAATAAATCAAGTATCATTGGATGTACTTTTTAAACAGTAAATCGATTTTTAAAAGAAAAATTAAACTTGCTTTTTCTTTGACTTCAATCAAGTTTATTTACTGTTAAGATTTTATTATTATTTTCTTAACTTAAATTTTTTTCTAAAAAGCCGGTCTCAACACCACTGTTAAGTTTTGACAAAAAATAATAAAAGAGAATAAACAATTTTAAATCAGCAGTTACCATATAGCTACCTTTTGTACAGTGATTCTTCCAGACTTTTTTTTCTCGGGGGGGGGGGGGGGGGGGGGAGGGGGTAGACTTTCTTCAGGGGGGGGAGGGGCAGACACTGTTAAAAGTATATATTTTCTGTATAAATTATATAAATTTCGTTCGGGTAGGGGGGGTAGAATTTTTTCAGGGTGTGGTGAACTGAAAGAAATTCTGCTTTTATATTAGCTATAACAAGAGCTACAAGCTGTTTTAAAAAAACATTCTAACTTCCTAGTGACGTAAGTTTTCAATAATTATTGTTTACTTAGTTTGATATATAAAGAACCAACTTGGTTATTCTCAGTTGCTGCAGAAAGAAAAGGAGAACAGGCTCGGGGCAAAAAGAGATTTCCAGGAGATCAAGAACCACGACTTCTTCTCAGACATTAACTGGCAGGATCTGTACGACAAGAAGATCACACCTCCATACAACCCTAATGTGGTATGTTAAATCACATACAACTCTAATGTGGTATGTTAAATCACATACAACCCTAATGTGGTATGTTATTTCACATAAAACCCTAATGTGGTATGTTAAATCACATACAACCCTAATGTGGTATGTTATATCACATACAACCCTAATGTGTTATGTTAAATCACATACAACCCTAATGTCGTATGTTAAATCACATACAACCCTAATGTGTTATGTTAAATCACATACAACCCTAATGTCGTATGTTAAATCACATACAACCCTAATCTTGTATGTTAAATCACATACAACCCTAATGTGGTATGTTAAATCACATACAACCCTGATCTTGTATGTTAAATCACATACTTAAATCACAACCCTAATGTAGCAAGTTATGTCCTATAATTTCAAAAGTTTTCATGCAGATCAATTAGTTGTATCATGTTTACCTAGCTATCACCAAAATATGATTTAGAAACCTAACAATTCAACACTAGCGCTAAGTCTTAAATTTTAAATTGTATAAATGCTGATACCAGCTATATGGGCCTAGGTATTGATGGGAATATCATGTTAAATGCACTTCTCCTTAAAGTTGCTCTATATAATGCTTAATATCATTAACGTTAGCATCTGAAAATTAGCCTAAACTGTGAATGTCTTGAATTCCAGACTGACCATCTGGACCTGAAACATTTTGACCCAGAGTTTGTTAGAGAGCCAGTACCAGGTAGGTTCACTAAGTTCATTTCAGGGGAATTAGGCATCACCACTGTAGTTAATCTTACACTATAGGTTCACTAAGTTCATTTCAGGGGAATTAGGTATCACCACTGTAGTTAATCTTACACTATAGGTCCACTAAGTGTAGTTCAGGTGAATTAGGTATCACCACTGTAGTTAATCTTACACTTAACTAAACTTAGGAGTTTGTAATAACTGAATAATTTGCAAATAAATCTAGAAAGTTTCAAACTTTACTACTTTAGAAAGGTTTAACCCCTTTACCGTGGAAAAAAAAAAAAAAAACTTTTTTTTTTTTGGAAACTGTATTTTTTTTTTCCATTATTTGATTTGTTATGTTGTCCTGACAAAATAAAACATCATTTTGAGTGAAAATGAGTTGACATTTAGAATTTATGAGGTAAATATAAAGAAGGTAATTCAAAAGCACAGAACCAACATCACGTGATGACCTATTTTTATCAAACGCTGTTGAATTGGCTGTTATATTAGCCTCCCTCTACATTGTTATTGATTTCCAATGCTATTTTCGTATTTTCGTATCAAAACGAGTTAACTCGCGACGCACGGCACACAGACGACTTTTTTATCTGAATACGAGTTAACTCGTGATGTACGGTTAAGCCCAAGATTTTATATGACGAGTTAACTCGTGACACACGGTAAAGGGATTAATAAGAATCTTGTTTTAAAATTGCCTGCGTTAAAAAAAATTTTTTGCTGAATTGATGAGTTTTGTTAAATAAAATTATTAGCAATTGTATTCTTTTCTCAACAGCATCAATTGGAAGATCAGGGGGACAGGGCAGTCGTCTGGTCAGTGCAAGTGTTATGGAAGCAGACGGCGTGTTTGAAGGTTTCTCCTATGTTCCTCCATCTGAAGATGCCTTTGGTTAACCAATCAATTGCCAGATTTTTTTTCAGTGCCATCAAAGGTTTCTGATGATGATAAACTTAAATTTTTTAAGGAGATAAACAACGATTTGTGCAAAAAACGATTTTGTAAACAATAACGTTATTTACTTGTTAATGTTATGGTGGGGTTTAAATTTTAAATAAAGGGGACTAACTCTATTGAATGTAAATACCTGAACGGAGTTACATTTCTTAGATCACTGTTAGCCAGGCAGCAGCATTGTCTTGTACTCTGCACATGCAAGTGTACACTGCATGTGTAAGTGTATGTTGCACATGCAAGTGTATGTTGTACATGTAGATGTATACTGCACATGCAGGTATACATAGTACATGGAATTGTACACTGTAAATGCAAGTGTACACTGCACATGCAAGTGTACATTGCACATGTAGGTGTACACTGTACATGTAAGTGTACGCTGCACATGTAGGTGTACAATGTACATGCAAGTGTACCCAATGCTACAATACAATTAAACATTCTCAATGTAAACTTCTATTTTATGATATTGAGGGAAGTTAGTATTCTTTTTAAAACTTATGATTTAGCCATTCCATGTTTAATTTTTATCTGCTTCCAGTATGCAGGACATGATTTTATGATGATTGAACAAACTTTTAGTTGGGGGAGAGCTGGAGGTGGGTGAGGAGGGGTGTAGATTCCATGTTAAAACATGTACCAGATTTGAGCGTTGTTTTGTTCTTTACATCTTTTAATTAAAAATGGATTGGATGTATGTTTTGTGTACATAGTTTGTGTTTGTTTTTAAACTGTGTTCAGTATGTGTGTGCTTGAGCAGGAGTTTAAACATTTGGAATGGACATGTGTGTACAATTATTTATTCTTTTAGTGATTCAGTCTGATTTTTGAAAATTGTGATGGAATTTTTTTTATTATTTAACTTTAAAAAAAAAGAAATCGTTATACTATTTTTTTAAACAAATATATAAAGCATCTTCATAAATTAAGATTTCTGTGTAAGTTTCTTTCTTTTAATTTTATTTAGGGATTAACTCTAAAGCGATATTTTTAAACTATGTTATAAACAGCTTGATCAATGAAAATCTATGCTATCATTCTGTTATTTTAAACAATGCATTTTATCATGAACTACATTTGACATTTCAAGAATATAACGTGTATATAAATATAACAAAACTAATAATTCACTTAAGCAATGAGTCGTTTAAACTGTGTCTGAACCACTGCTGAAGTTTGTACTCTATTTAATAAACAACAACCCAGGCAGCTTCTTCAAACAATCCTGGGCTATATACGCTTTGACTTGTAAACAATTATACGACTTTCGTCAGTTTTATTTTTTAAAAATGTATACTGACATAAGTTTCTTATATTGCTTATTAAACGTTATGTAAATATATATAAAATACTCAATGCCTTGCATTGACTATTACACTTGTAAATAGGTGACTGGTTGTTGATGTGTATGTGAGTACGTTCTAGCCTAACATATAATCTTCCAACAATGAGACATATTCTGCTGTGTCATGTGCACAGCCTGTTTAGAGTTTTACATGTTTGCCATAAATTTTGTTGTGTCCGCTCAAACGTACGTGTGACAGATGTATGTTGTGTTCTACAACACAGAGCTTATGATTTAGATGGTTGCCTTGTAATAGGGGGCTCAAAGTGCATTATGTGTGAGGCTGCCATTCATTACATGTAAGAACACCAGTGAATTATGTTGTGCCAGAATTTAGAATGTAAGGTTGCCATAAATTATGTTGTGTCCGCTCAAAGTTTACCATATGTGTACCTGTATGTGTAACTACTGTGATGTATGATTTGCTAATTAAATTGCTGTGAAATCAAAGTTGACAATGATGGATAAATACAAATAAGCAACTTCAGAAAAATTATATACATTTTATTAAATTAAAAAATGTATGCACTGATTAAGAAGATGTTCATTTACAAATATATTACGTTATTGTATCTGCACTGTGTTTTCATGAACATGTTACATTCATAATTAAAACATTAATTTCTTCATCAATAATTCAAGAATAGTTTGTTTACACAACTGTGATTTATCAAAAGTCAATTACAATCAAAACTTTAAAATAATAAAACTTTGGGTCATGCTATATAAACATGTGGACAGTACTGTTTCAATTTCTTGAAATCAGTAGCCAGTTTTTTTAAAAGCCAAATGCCATTGGATTCAAAGCCAAATATACTTTAAAGTTTTAAATGATGAACTGTCAGAGTTTATTTTTTAAATTACTTTAATCCCCAGATAATTATTAAAGAATTAAAAATAATTTTAACTTTTCATTCCCATAGTTGTTTTTTTTTTTAATCAAAAATATTAAATTTAATGCAATGTGTGGTGAATATCTGGTCAATAATGTAATGTTTGCAGACAGAAGATAATGGGACGAAACTTTTAGTGAAAAATTGTAACACGAGTTGTGATGTTTAACATGAAAGAAATACATTCAAAGTTTACAAATAAATCACTCTTTTGTTTTCTCTACTGAGGTTCTGGGTTCATGTTTTGTGTAAAAAGTTCTGCAAATCTTATTACAGTTACAGTGCTGTACAAATTATAAAATAAAAGAATGAACAACAATCTGGAAGGAATGTGAATAAAAGTTCAATTGTTAAACTCAACCTTTGATAAATACATTTTTACGAAGAAGATAAAATATTGGCCGAACGGAAATGTAATGAAGTTAAAACCTATCTTGATTTTATACATCAGTCTACTGGCTGTTCATAAACCAACAATAAAATTAAACACAGCAATAGCTACCCTGTGGACAAGAGCCTTTCATGCTACATTTTGGTATCTAAATCAATAACTTACATAATTCATGTTTTTGTAATAGTTTTACAATCTGTAAAATACAAATAAGCTAGACAAATTTACTGGCGTTTTCTAAACACCTAATCTGACATGGGACAATAAAAAATTAATTTGCCTAATAACTATAACTCTTGTTTGTCCCGCATTGACTCCCATGGTTTAAGAGGTCTTTTTAATTTTGAAGGAGTAGGCTCAGTATTTATTGGCTTTATATTTAAAGATTTTAAACCAGGGATGGGTAAGTTATTCTGCAATAATTCAGCAATCTCAGACAAACTAAGCTTACATTCAGTTTCACTTTCATTTTGAGAGGTAGCATTTTCTTCTGAACTGCTTTCTTTACTAGCATATTCACTGAGAACACCGAGACCTACAGACTCCAATTGACCAGCAAGTGTACTTAATTCATAATCTCCATCTATGGAAGAGTTCTTATCTGAACTGTTGGATTTAGTGTCATCTTCTGAAGAGATGGGATCAGTAAGACTCTGTGAATTCCCAGCTGTTTTGTGGATAGTAGTTAAACAAGTCTGCTGCTGACAATGCAAAGTGTCTGACAAAACGTCACTATTTAAAGCTGATTCAAGATGAGCAGGTGTGTTTTCATCTTTTTTTGCTGAGAAAATTAAATGTAAAAAAAAAATGGCTTTGACATATCTCAAATCCTATTAAAAAGGTACTATCTTTATTTTAACAAATGTCAATACATATATATATATATATATATATATATATATATATATATATATATATATATATATATATATATATATATATATATATATATATATATATATATATATATATATATATATAAAAGACAAAAGTATTTTTGGCAGTATAACAAGTTAATACATTAATACAGGCCTATTTAGATAGAGAGAATTAGATACCTTCCAATTTATCATAATCACTGTCCAAAGAGTTTTCTGGGTAATGGTTTGAAGAACTGTGTTGTAAATTTTTCCACACCAAATATTTTCTAAAATCAAATTTCATTACATTCCTGAAAGTAAAATTACAATAATTACAATCTGGCTTTAAAGATGTGAATGAATGGTAATATTGCTATCATCAAGACATAAATAAAGTAAAAAACAGATCTTTGGTGCTAATTTTTAAAAATATACTAGATCTAATACTAATTGACAAGATTAAGTGAATATTTAGCTTTAAAATGAATCCAATCTACAATCTTAAAATTTAGATTTGGACCTTAGCAATCAAGATTAAAAAGATACCACAATATATTGTATGATTAAAAACAATTACATTAACTTAAAGTAGGCATCTTTACTAACTGGAATAAGTACAAGTACAAATTATTTTTAGTGGATTGAATCAGCATAACTACATTTGTTTTTTATGTTATGTATTTGTGCTTTTATTAAGGCAAGCAGATTTTAATGTTATCTAGTATCTAGCTATATGTTATTGTTATTGATCATTAGACAAGGAACATCAAGTGCTTCAATAAGTAATAGCATACACCTCAAAACAACTAAACTTTACTCACTTATTAAAATAAAAAGCTTTTGCTCGAAGAACTTCTGAATCTCTTTTGTCAGCATCCAAGGATTTAGAGATTATATTCCAGCCAGAAAGGAATACAGGAACACTTTCAAAGTTGAAACTTTCAAACTTTTGGAAAGATAACTCCTCCATTAGTAAGTTTCTAGATCTAGTTCCTAAAGTGTGGAAATGATCTATTATAAATTATAAATAATGTAGGCCTACAACTTATAGTCGAATATTTGAAATATTTTTAAAGGTTATTAATAAATTATTGATATTTTCAACACAGCAGTTGTTTTTGTTTGTTGTTTGTTTGTTTTTTTTTTGGGGGGGGGATACATTAATAATGATATATCAACAAAATATTCATCAAATTTTCATTAAGAATTACAAGCAAATTCACACCCTGCATACAATTTTCAGGAGTGTTAGACGCCCTCAGAATTGATGCCTCTGACTCTGATTTCTAACGATAAAGAATAAAGGTGATACTAACATTGTTGACTAACATTACTAACAAACTAACAACCTAACACACCTATTTTAAATAATTTTAGTATTTAGTATTTACTATTTTGTGTGAGTTTTTTTCAGAAATGTCAACTATTGCGCGCACATTGGACCACAGGTGTCACTGGGTGTGGGGAAATTGCGAGACGCGAAAAGCGAAATGGCGAGGCGGGAAAATGCGAGAAGGGCGCGAAAACGGTCGGTCATGTGACTTTTTTGTCTCGCATTTTACCACAACCCGATACTTACGCTGGGTAGTGTTGAAATGCGAAGATTTCTGCGAAAAATTTACCGCACCCGATATTCAATGGTATTTGGTCCAGACTTCAAAGACGTTTCGTTTACATTGTTAAAACTTCCGATTTTTCCGTCGCTAGACATACTGATGATTTGTCAACTCCCCCCATCTTTTGTGTCGACTTAGAATACCACCTTGTTCGAAACCGACGGAAATACCGCCGACGATAGATCAACTTCTGTCTTTTGTGTGGAACGCCGAGGCCGCCTGATTTACCGTCTTTGAAGATCGCCGTGCCCGGATCCGCTGCCGCCGCAAACATATTTTCATATTTTCTATTGTTGCATAGAAATTTTGTATTATAGCCGCCGCCTACGATTTTTTTTCTAGCTTTTTTTTACCATATAAATCTAAGCACAAGGAAATGCCTACATCATTTGGATACACTAATTTATATTAGATTTTATATCACGGTTGTGACTTTTCCAAATTTTCCCATAAATGTTATATCATTACTTATTAATTAATTGTAAATATATATAAAAATTTATTATTTATTATTTCCATAAATAAGTCAGAAAAAAATAACATCAAATTAAGTATGCAGTTACTGCCCTATGTGAAGGCGAGGACTAGATTAACCCTCCCTTATGTGTTGCTTATTCCTAAGCTTTTATGAACTCTTAATGCCCCCAGTTTTTTTTTCTCTTACTTACTGTTTGGGGAAAAAATAAAGTGACGTCACCGATATTATCAGTTAATCGTGCTATATCGTAAGCTATGGGCCTACTTCAAATATTTTTAAAACCAAGTTGAACTTATCTGAATTTTTTTGTTTTGGTGGTGGTGTTATTTTGGGGTCTTCCATAAATGACTTTTTGCAAGTACAAAAATCCATAAATAGATGTTGCAAAATATCTCTCCTGCTGACAAGATTATACCAATTCACAATGACACAGCTCACGTTTGTATAAACATGAGCGGGCTAGATTTTTAAATTAATGCTGACTGAGACGGGATTTTCCTCTTGCTAACAAGAGCGGGCGATGACAGTAGCACAGCAACGATGTTAGGATTTTTAAATAGATAGATCTAGATATAGATCTATCTTCTTAGTATCTAGATAAAAAATAACATCATACAACACTCGTGTTAAAGGGTATGGCTAAATGCTTGTTTATTTTAAAACAAAACAAAAAATAATTTAAATAAATTAAGATGGAAAAAAAAAAGAAAAAAACTTTTTTCGCAAAAAGTGTCTCGCTATTTACCCTTAATTTCGCAGGTATGTCTCGCATTACCTTCTCGCATTTTCCCGCCTCGCCATTTCGCTTTTCGCGTCTCGCAATTTCCCCACACCCGGTGTCAGGTATCCTCAATCATCCGTGAGAAGTAATGTGTAGAGCCAGTACTGATATTCTATTACTTAGTTTACTATATATATTATATAATATAAAGGTATTTACTTTACTATATAGTAGTATATAGTTATATAGACTATAAAATTAAATAATAATAGTCCTAACGGTAACGACCCACAGCAAAATTGTGTAGTAAGTCACTAAGTGTAAGTCGTAAGTGTAAAAAGTAAAAACCGTAACTTTACCCAAAAAAATTGAAACAGGAAAAAAACTTGCTTAGCTTTATAAAAATTATAGTTCTAGATCTAGTCTAGAGGGTCTAGTACTCTAGATCTAGATTAGATTATCTAAATCTAGATCTAGACTAGAGATTCAACGCCGACACCGAAAAGAATGCAAAGAAACTTGTCAACATCTTTTCGTGACCTTTTTTATTGTTACAGTGAATAGCCTTGAACTGTGCACTTTGAACTGTAGAGCCTTAAATTCTTTTTTTTCAGTCGCTGTCAGAACTACCCGATTAAAAGATTGTTTAAGCTTTTACATGTGTATACTGTGCAGTATATGCCTACTGCCTAGTATAGAATAGCTAAACATAAACAAATATTGACGTTTTCATTGGTGGGAATTGATTCACACTACAAATAATGTAATAAACAAATATTTAGAAAACCCTTTCACAGGCTAATCTGTTCAGTCTTAGTCTTATTGGTCTACGCTTATATCTGGCAACAGTCATAGAAATCTTATATAATGATTATTATTCAGAATCTATAAAATAACATAAAAAAAGTACTATTCTAGACTAGATCTATTCTAAACTACAAAGTTAAGTGCTATAACTATAAGTAAGTATAAAGCATAAGTATAAGAGAATCTAGATAGACTATAGACTCTAGATCTCTAGGCTATATCTATTTATAAATTTATTGTATTTAAGTATTTTAAGTGTCAATTATAATATCTAGAATTCTAGATCTAGCCACTGCTTGAAACTAGAATTTAAAGAAAAAAGAATTTCAATAGAGTAGCATAGCAGCATAGGGGATAGAGTCTACGTTTTTATTCTAGATCTAGTAACTGAACGTGAAATGGCTGTAACTACTAACTAGGCCTAATTGTGAGACAACTTTCATTCTGCAGTTTCAGAATCCCCCCCCCCCCCCCAGTGTTTCTTTCAGACATTTTTCTCCTGTGGCCCTTTTAGATTTCAGTTGGACGGACAATTGATTATTTAAAGGTATAGCCCTCCAATATTTTTAGCGCAATTTCCATACTGGACAATTGCAATTATTAACTCGTTATTTATGGATGGCTGGATGTGCGCAGCTTTAAGTCGTATCTCCTCCTCAACGAAGTAATATCGAGGACTAGTTCCAAAAGCAAATATTTTAAGCAAGTTCCGAGGATGGTTGTGGGCCAAAAAAATTCCCAGAATTCCTTCCTGGATTTCCCGGAAAAGCCAAAAAACCTCAAAAAATGCAGTTTTTGGCCTATATCTCGGCAACCAGACCACTTAGCGACTTGAAACATTACCAATCGATTCCTGCCATAATTTAGAACAATATTGCCGAAGAAAGTTTTCAAAAATATCCTTTCGTTCGGTCACAACAAAATTTTTAAAATTACATAAACACCTACAAACCGATCGTTCTCCTAGCTTGTTTCCTATTTCGTCCAATAGAGCGGTGGGCGCCTTCTGGTGGGGGGGGGGGGGGGGCAGTGCTCTCCACCAATTGTCCATGATCAATTTAAAATATGTGCCGCTGATCTGGGAGAAGAAGACATTAGAGTGGAAATGGAAAGGGCACACACTCAAAAATGCCCAGATATTACCAGGCATATCCTGGAATGGAACTTCTAATTAAAGGATGAAAGGGAGGCCAAGAATGTCCTGAAGGAGTTTTTTGTGAGACATTGGGAGAAAACGGAATGACATGGCCAGAGGTTTAAATATATATCCACACATAGTGTTAGTTGGTAAATTGTTGTTTTGACCTCAAGCTCCCTATGAAGAAAAAAGACATACGCCTCCTTCCCCCCCCCCCCCCCCCCCCCCCCCACCTCAAACTCGTCTACAGACTGTCGGTACATTTTAATTGTGCCTACTCAAAGGTTTTAAATGCCCCCATACCTCATGTAGAAAAATGTCTGAAAGAAACCATGAATATAAAGGAGAAGATTTAGAGTCACATTTTTATTTTTTTTTCAAAAGCTCTGTTAAGATATTTGTTGTCCATAATGGTTATAATTCATGATAAAATATATTTTTATTTCTAGCTTGCTGCAAGTTTCCTTATTATCAAAACATTAAGACCTGACTTATAATCAGCTGGAAGAGGAAGACTTTTTTTTGTAACTCAGGTGTGAGTTGATAAAATATAAACATGTTGTTTGAGGTAAATATGTATTAAGTAAGAAGTACTAGTAAAAAAAAAGTAAATGTCTATTTTGTTCAACACATACTTTAGTCCTACTCACTCTCTTCATTTTATTAAATGGATTTGTAGTTAAAGACTTAAAATTCTATATATTAAAATAACCATCAGCTAAAAGAAATGTATTGCAGCAGTGTTTATTAACTTTATATACCCTTTATCCTTTTCTATCTCACTGTTATGAAGTAACCTAATAATCCATACACATTCAGTAAAATGTTTACTCAATAATTTGATTTTAACTATTGATTTCATTTTTTTTAATAGTTTGACTTTATAATTACTCACCTTTATCTTTTGTAAGCCGATTCCATACAGCTTCTACACACCAGGCACATCCTACTTTTGGGTACACATTGGTCTTGTCATTCTAGGCTTTGTTGTAGCTCTAGCAACATTGATAGGACAGTGGTTGAAACCAGCCCCATATGGAAGACATGATAGAACAGTAAGCTTTTTATTTTATTTATGTAAAATGTTGTTCAACATAAACTAGTTGACATGTCATGTCTTTGTGTTGGATGAATAAAACTTCATTCCATTTATTTATTACCCTTTTTTCTCTTTTTTTTTACATTGTGGGGTCATCCATAAATGATGTCACACTCGTAGGAGTGAGGGGGGGGGGTTCAGATGGTGGGACGTCACATTTTTGCATTAACAAATAGTAATGTTGGGGGGGGGGGGGGGTCTGGCCTTTTGTGACGATGTGTGACGGAGGGGGGGGGGGGGGGGGTAAAAATCATCAAAAAAAGCGTGACGTCATTTATGGATGACCCCTGTTGTTTTCTTTCCAAATGTGCATACATTACATGCATTCTTTACAGGAAACAAACTGGGGTCCCATGATTCCTCAGCGCCTTGGACACATCTTGTCAGATGCCATACCTGGAGTTCTAATGTTTTCATTGGTAACTTTAAACACCATTTCTTTTTTTTAAAATTGTAATTTAGTATAAATGATTTCACTTATACTTGATACCTTTGTATTTTTAACATGCAATTTTTGGACATAAGTTATTTTTAAATGGTTTAAATTTTATGTGTGGATTTTCTGTTTAGGTGTTTTTCCTCTATAGCAAAGAAGATGTTAACAAAGGAGTTCTTAATTATGTTTTCTTTGCTATGTTCCTTACCCACACAGTTCATAGGTACCAGTAGTCACTTTCATTGTTTTTTTCTCAAAACTAAATATTAATAAATAATAACTTTAGTCTTATGAGATAATTTTAAATAGGCCTGTATGGACTTTTTTTTTTTACTACTTCTTGAGACACTGCATTCATGACTACTCAAAATGTGTTGTATATATTATAAAGTTGACTTGAAACATTGTATTTGACAGAGGAATCATTCACCCACTTACTATGAGGTACAAGAACCCTAAAGTTGCACTGGGGTAAGTTTGTTTACTCTATAGCTGTGATTGGTTTTATGATATTGGTAGTATAAAGCAATTGTTTGAATGAAATGATTTTTAATATAGTGTGTACAAGTTTTATTTTTGAAAAGAAGGAAATGGAATTTATAAAAAGACTCCAAACATTATTGTTGTTATAATATTTTATTTACTGGTACATGAAAAAGTAATTATTAGCTTTTGCGTTTCAAAACATTTTTTATTATCAGAATAACGCTGGGAGGTGGCATTCCCAATATCTTGTACCACTGGATCAATGCTGATCACATAGGATCAGCTGGCTATTACAGTACATACTATTAGTAAGTCAGACTTATAATTTGACACATATATAGTTTATGTATGTTTGTAGATGAGTGTCTAGCCATATTAAAGATGGTATTGCTATTTTCATACACAACAAATGCAATTATATCATTAGAAATATGTAAATGAGTTTTTGTTTAGAAATTTCATATTTCTGTTATAATTTAATTTCTTGGCTAATGCTATTTATCTGATAATAAAACATTTTTTTAAAGAATATTTTAAATTATAGAAAAATAATTATGTTGACTTATTAGATTATTTTGTTAATTTTTTTTTCTAGTCGCTCTAGCATACAATCATTACTTTAACACATTTTGTATGTGATAATTGTTATTAAATTTTATTCCCCATTTAATCTAATGCAATCTTTAGTACTTTTATCAGCATTTTCGTCTGATGATTTTGTTTGATTTATTTTTTCCAGTGACCCAAGATTTATCCTAGGTTTGATCCTCTTTATATCAGGCTTTGTTATCAACCGCACGTCAGACTGGAAGTTGAGATCACTCCGAAAAACTAAAGGTCACAGCAATACCAATTTTATTGAGGGGGATGGTATGATAGTTAATTACTTAATAGCCATGATAGTGTGTGATAACAATTTTATCGAGGGGGATGGTATGATAGTTAATTATTTAATACCCATGGTAGTGTGTGATAACAATTTTAATGAGGGGGATGGTTTGATAGTTAATTACTTAATAGCCATGCTAGTGTGTGATACCAATTTTATTGAGGGGGATGGTATGATAGTTAATTACTTAATAGCCATGCTAGTGTGTGATAACAATTTTATTGAGGGGGATGGTATGATAGTTAATTACTTAATACCCATGCTAGTGTGTGATAACAATTTTATTGAGGGGGATGGTATGATAGTTAATTACTTAATAGCCATGCTAGTGTGTGATAACAATTTTATTGAGGGGGATGGTATGATAGTTAATTACTTAATACCCATGCTAGTGTGTGATAACAATTTTATTGAGGGGGATGGTATGATAGTTAATTACTTAATAGCCATGCTAGTGTATGATAACAATTTTATTGAGGGGGATGGTATGATAGTTAATTACTTAATAGCCATGCTAGTGTATGATAACAATTTTATTGAGGGGGATGGTATGATAGTTAATTACTTAATACCCATGCTAGTGTGTGATAACACAGTGAGTAACAAAAACATATACATTAGCTTACTATCTGCATCTTTTTCTAATAAATAATATTTTATCATGGCTTCAGGGATTAACCAATAGTATCTTGGCTTCAGTTTTAGTGTTTATCTGCCTATTTCTTTTAAACAAACATTACCTTAAGAAATACTAAGTAGTGATTTGACTTTTCTTTAGTCATTATTTGTAAGTTGTATAAGTAAAACTGTTCTTGCTGCCTCTTTAACTCAAGTAAAATTTGTGCCCAAATGTTCATGACAGGCAGTAAAGGATACTATATACCACATGGTGGCTTGTTTGAACTGGTGTCATGTCCAAACTATTTTGGAGAGCTTGTCCAATGGATCGGATGGTAAGTTTTACCTGTGATTTCCTCTTGAATTGAATCAAATATTTTAGACATGTTTGGACTTTTAATATCAGTTTAAAAAACTTGATTATGAAATCTATCTTTGATTATATGAGACTGTATAAGTTGATTCTCAAGTAAATTGTCACAGTTGTTTCGGTATGTGTATGCCTGCTGTTGTCATACCACAACAATTACTGCATGGTCGTTTTTTTCTATTTGATAGTGGGAAAAAATGTAGTTATCAAAAATGTTTTGTGTGCCACAAAAGCATTTTTTTAATAAAAAAAAAGCTCCCAACCTTTGCTTATTTCAAATGGCAATGTCAGTATTTTTGTTGCAAAACCTGATTTTGTTACAATGAGTACAAAGTTTTCTGGTCCAACCATGATTTTGTTATATTTGCTACCAAATGATATGTGCCCTATGGGTTATTAAACTAACTATTTAAAACATTACCATAATATGCTTTACTTTAATATTTTTGCAGTGAAAAAGTATATTTATATTAAAATACTGTCCGTCTCCATTGAATTTCTTGTCTTAATTAATGAAATTACTAAAAGCAAATTAACCTTTTTTACAGGACTTTAGCAACATGGTCTTTAGCTGGACTAGTGTGGACATGTTTTTCTGCTGCAACATTTGTGGCAAGATCTCGACATAATCATCTCTGGTAGGTTGTCAGCAACATATCTTGTCATGCATAAAATTGTTAGTCAGATGTGTGGTCCGCATGGTGAGGATGGTTAAGTTCATGGTAAGGTCCCTAATTCAAAACCCTGGGCAGATGAAGCTTGACAGCTAGAGGCAGCAATGCATCTTGGAGAAAAAAATTCCTAAATCAAACAACTGCTGCCTTGTAGTTTGTTTTTCACCGGACTATGGAAGCAAATCCAGATAGAAAAGCAGGCTGAAATCTGAGTTAACAGCCTATATGGCGCATAATATGTTGACATGTAATACTTAATTATGTTGGAAGGAATCCTGTCCAACATTATAATTAAGAAGATAGAAGAAGAAGTAATCAGACGTAGAATCCTGTGTGATGATAATGTAATGTTGCGTCATACATTAGAATGTAAGCCAAAAAGTATGATGCAGGAAGTTTTGGTCAAATTTAGAATCATGCATAAAGTTCTAAGCTAAACCCATTGTAGCTATATTTCAATCAGTCCTAAGTGTTGTTTTTTTTTAAATGTAAATGAAAATTGAACATTTTCTTGTGTATTAAATATATAAAATACGACATAATTTTTGTGTAAAATATTGTGTCATTTTTTACCTTCAACTATCTATTGTCACAGGTACAAAGACAACTTTCAAGACTACCCTTCACACAGGAAGGCTTTGATACCATTTATATTTTAACACGTTTTTATTAACTCAGCTTCGCGTTTGTGTGTTTGTTGTTAAAATTGACATCGAAAATTAGCCCACTTCTGATTGTTCTATAGTTCTGAAATTTGGCATGCAGGCTACTTTCGCCTAACAATTTCAGATGCAATCATAAAAACTAGCAATTAGAGACCGTAATTAGCTTAATTTAATTACGCCCAAAGGACCATAAAATTGAGGACATGATTTCTAAAGATACCGACAAGACTGGAGGCTTATTGACACAGTTACTTCGGCCCCAATCGATGTGAGCGCGCTGGCCGTGATCGTATAGTGGTTAGTACTTCGCGTTGTGGCCGCGACAACCCAGGTTCGAATCCTGGTCGCTCAAGATTTTTTTAGTCCGTGTATTTATAAACACTTAGTCAATTCATACTTAATCAAGTCATTAGATAAAGTAGAAAATAAACTATATAAAAAACTTTTTTAAAAACCACGTTTTTCATGTGTAGCAACGGACTAAAAAGGAGAAAATAAAATACTTAAAAAAAACTTTTTAAAAAACCACGTTTTTCTTGTGGACTAAAAAGTAGAAAATAACTATTTACATACATTTGATGACAAAAAACGTGGGTCGGGCAGATGGGTCGGGAAATTTGATGGTGAACGTACCCACGTTTTTTGTCATCAAATGTATGTAAATAGTTATTTTCTACTTTTTAGTCCACAAGAAAAACGTGGTTTTTTAAAAAGTATTTTTTAAGTATTTTATTAGACAAATCTCTTATGTTTTCAATTGCTGCTCAGTTTATTATTATCTAAATATATTTTTCTTCCTAATGTGATTTCCATCTTAGTAACATTGATGCCATTTTATATGCAAATATATTTTTATTTAGCAAATATTCATGCCAGTTTGTATGCAAATATATATTTTACATCCATAATATGTCATTACTATTTTAGTAAATAGTTATACTAGTTTTTATGTATATGTATTTTTTAATTCATATGCCATTATTATTTGATTAAAGATTTATACAAGTTTGTATGCAAATATATTTTTGAATCCATCATATTTCAGGATTTATACCAGTTTATACTAACCTTTATCAACTTCACTGACTTGTGTCATATTGTTGTTGAATACTATATGTCAGGAGTCTCCAAACTACGGCCCGCGGGCCGCATCCGGCCCGCGAGGTGCTCTCATCCGGCCTTCGGAGATCTTTTAGTCCACGGAAAAAAATGTTTGTTGTAGGTGGCTGAGGAAAAATGCCACCCCAATGAGATGCCTGGAAGAAACTCCTGGCCCCCCCAACTTATATTTGATAGTTAATATGTTATAATATTTTTCAACATTATATTTTTTACTTAAACAATGCTACTCTCAGTTTTATTATACTGTATTAACTATTAAAATTGTGAAAAGGAATTAAAATGTTTAGATTATATTTTCTATACCAGCTTGAAGTGTTTGTAAGGTTATGATTATGTAACATTATTTATACAGCAAGGTAACTTGAAGTTGTAAGGAAAATAGTAATGTGAAATATGTCAAGATGTACCATCCTCTTTCTTTGAAATATCTTTAAAATTTTTGTGTAGCATTTATCCATATTGATCCGGCTTTGTTCCATTTAGGTATATTTAAAGTTCACTTATCAAGGCCACAACCTTTAACTGGTACTTATCTATATATATAAAGCAAAGTGGTCAGGTGCCCGATAGGGCACTTCCCGGCGCCGCAGGCTCGTCAAATTTGGCACGATGGTGCCTTGGGGCGATAGAACACGAGGGCCGGTGACGGTTGGCCGAAAAGTCTACGGGGAAGGGGTCAAAACTGACCTCGACTAACCGGCGCCTTATATGGGCTATATTACGAAAAAAAATTTCCTCCGACGACCCCCCTTGAAATTTTGTGAGGTGGTAGGAGAACGCCTCGGGGTGTCACAAAAAACTCGCCATGTCCGGGAAAAACAGAGAGTGATTTCAAAACAAATTTTAGGGCACTTACCGTCTTTACATCTGGCTAATTTTTTGCATGCTCTTAGGTAAATGGCTTGACCTTTAGGCAAAACGGTCAGTTTCACTCAAAGCCCTCGACGAGGGCTAAAAAGTGACCGCGAGTGAAATTCTCTTTATATGAGCTCTATTACGAAAAAAAATTTCCTCCGACGACCCCCCTTGAAATTTTGTGAGGTGGTAGGAGAACGCCTCGGGGTGTCACAAAAAACTCGCCATGTCCGGGAAAATTCGTTAAATGGGTCAAAACTGACCAGTCGTATTTCCCTATATAATCTTTGTATTTTATGGGAAAAACAGAGGGTGATTTCAAAACGGATTTGAGGGCACTTACCGTCTTTACATCTGGCTAATGTTTTGCATGCTCTTAGGTAAATGGCTTGACCTTTAGGGAAAACGGTCAGTTTCACTCAAAGCCCTCGACGAGGGCTAAAAAGTGACCGCGAGTGAAATTCTCTTTATATGAGCTCTATTACGAAAAAAAATTTCCTCCGACGACCCCCCTTGAAATTTTGTGAGGTGGTAGGAGAACGCCTCGGGGTGTCACAAAAAACTCGCCATGTCCGGGAAAATTCGTTAAATGGGTCAAAACTGACCAGTCGTATTTCCCTATATAATCTTTGTATTTTATGGGAAAAACAGTGTAATTTCAACACAATTTTTAGGTTACTTAACCTCTGTACATCATGCTAATGTTTTGCATACATTTCTATAGATGACTAGGCCGTATGAAAAAACTGTTGGGCACACTCAAAGCCCTCGACGAGGGCTAAAAGATGACCGCGAGTGACATTCTTCTTATATGAGATAAATAAATATAAATAAATTGACGAACGATCCACTTAATATTATTTGAGGTCGTAGACCGACCCTGGAGGGTAACAAAAAAACTTTATTCCAGTCGGGAAAAGCCATTGTAGTCGTTAAATATGTTCATATATCGTATTTTCTACTATAAGCATTGCATCTGTTTGGTAAAAAAAAAGTAAACAATGACAGACGTCATTCGGGCCATTTTCAAGGGAGGTAACCTTTTTAAATAATTATTTTTCAATTAATTGTATACTATTTTAAACAGAAAATGACAAAGTATAGCATTTGTTTTAGTAAAGCATTAATTTCTTAATTAAGCTACATATCATAATTAAATAAAAAAATTAATTTTAAAAGTTAACGTAATATAAATTATGAGATATACTGATCGTGGAACCTCTGTAGTTCTAATTTCATTTTAGTTATAAATTGCGTACTTTCAGTTATTTTCTCTGCAAGCGGATCGTAAACAACATACAACAACATCTTCTCTCAAATTAGCATTACTGTTTAAATTTAACACTCCACACCTCATCAATCAATAAATAATTAGTATTCAAATTATCAAATGTTTTTGACAACCTAAGCGAAGCTAGGCAGTATGCCTAGATATTATTATAATCTGTGCTTAGTCAATGGGGAGACAAAAAGGGAGAGAACGTGTTTAGTTTATAAATTTAAGGGGAGGTAAATGCAAATAAAATTTTGAAAACTATTAAAAAAGAAAGTTTATCGTTTTTCAAGTGTTTTGGTGTAAGTATCACTTACACCCAAGGTATAGCAAAACAAACACATTTTTTTAATAAGATTAGTGTAATGAACGCCACGTGAAGTCCGTGTAAAATTTATGTCTGTACAAATCTTTTTTTTCTATTTACGCAATAATAATATTCATAGTATCAGAACACAAATTGAAAAAACTAACTTTTAACAGTGTTATGTGTAAGCATAACGCGGAAAACGGTCATAATATTTTTTTTTTTTTTTTGAAAAAAAAATTATAAAAAATTCTCAACAAAACTGCAAAAACCTTTAAGATTATCACGGTAAAAATACCGTTTTTGTATTTCTTTATTTCTAAATACCTTCATTTGAATTGGTGATCGACAAATAATTTTTTTAGTAATGTTCACCATTTTCTTCATGTAATGATACTTTTTTCAAATGTTTCAACTATGTTAAAGACTAACGCACACACATTTGTATATGCTCACGTAACTATTCCTATTTGAAAATATAAGTGTTAAAAAATACAGAAGCATTTAAAAACAACCGATTTAGAAAGTAGAATGGTAGCTCTGTACGTTGGTATACGCTGACAAAATAATTAAATGTTAAAATTTCAAATTTTAATGAAAAAATCATTATACAGCCGCCAAAGTTATATATTCCGAGAGGGCATCCAATTTACCATTAAACTAACGATTTAAACTAAACTACGATAGGGTCTAGAAAAAAAATTGCTGACCTCCAACATTTTTTCTGAATATAGTTATTAAGAGAAGAGAAAAACATTTAGCTATGAGAAATATGTAATGTTAGTTACACTTGTTCCGATGTCATACTCAATTCTAATTATACTTGTGAATAAACTATCAATGTTACTGTTTTATTCATCTCAGTTTGCGGCTTTTGTTACTTCAAGCAATGGTTTGAAACATTTAGCTACTGACATAATCATACCTAAACGATATGAAGCAGGAAAATTGAGTTAGATTATGTACGGGAACATGGCAGGTCTTCAAACATTATTTATACAAAAAAAATGTCAAAGCTTTCTGTACTCTGCTTGTTTAAATGGGCAACTTGAGGGTTAAAAAGAATAGGCTGATTTTGTGAGGAAACTGAAAATTTCGGGTAAAATGTGAGCGAAAAACTTTTTTTTTGTTACCAAGTTATATGGGGGTCATTCAAAACTGACGTTACACGTTTTTTACCTCCCTCTCTCCTCCATCACAATCGTCACCAAAAAAGCCCAACACCTCCGCTACCCCCCCCCCCCCCTAAAATGACGTTACATCGCAGCCTATAACCCTTAAAGTTACAGCTGATTTTTAAACAATTGATTTTATTTTTCAAAAATATTGACTGAGCTCAGTCATTTTAATCAATTTCTAATACAACTTATTAAAACAGTTAGCTTAAACGCGAATTAATGGCTAAATTCGGTTTCTAACATCACATTACATCTATGAGTGTGATGTCACACTATCTGAACACACCCCCTCCCCCCAGTGTTTCTTCCAGATGTTTTTTATCTCCGGGGGGGGGGGGGGGGCGACTTGAAATTTTCGGGGGGGGGGGGGGCGGACTAAAATTTCCGGGGAGCGCCCACACCCCGAAGAGATGCCTGGAAGCAACACTGCCCCACCCCTTCATCACACATCGTTACCCCACACACATAAACTAAAGCTGCACACCTTACAATTACACTAAGCATCAATACAATTGTTCAGATTTACGGTTTTGGTTTGGGTTAGACATCGTTAACGTCGTCACGTACTAGATTTAGATAGATCTAGTGTATATATATATATATATATATATATATATATATATATATATATATATATATATATATATATATGTAACTAGGGTAGTTACCATACTATGGTTAACAACGTATTACAGTCTGATGCAACTGATAACGATCATAAAGCCACGGCGTATTTTGGGAAGGATACGACAAGCCGCTGTCAACTTTGACATGACTTGGCTGACGTAACAGTGCAGGTGTTCTATTAATCGGACTGATGAGACAACTGCGTAGTAATCGGAAGGCGAGATACTCGGATTGAACATAACTATGATAGAACCGAATACGATTACGAATACGAAGGGATATATAGGAAGGCGAGAGCTGAGAAGTTGGAGTAGAAGTGTGGCAGTATCAAGTTGGTTACTGAACGTTGTAGACGTATTGTGTTAATAGGGACGATAGACATGTGCATTCGGTTATGTGAAGACTAGTGAGGACGGTTGGGGGTCAGTTGATTCATTATATTATTGTGAAGCATTTCTTTTTGATTCATGTAATAAAAGGATCAATGGTAAACCTGCATCTTCGAGTATCTATATTGTGGTCGATGTTGTGTAGAATGAGTAAATACACTCGTTAACATTTGGCACTACAAGCAAAGAGACTCGTTACATTTGGCGTTGTCGAGCAGAAGATGCAACTAGACTCGGTTACATATATATATATATATATATATATATATATATATATATATATATATATATATATATATATATATATCAGTGGCGTAGCGAGGTCGGGTGTCACCCGGTGCGGCACTTAATGATGTCACCCCCCAGAGGCGTAGCGAGCCTTCTCGGGGACAAACTTTCAAATTTTTTATTTGCATTTTCTCTGCGAATAGAAAGACCGCTTAAAATCAATAATGTAATATAACAAAAGTTATTTTTAAATAAAGGTGATTTATGTATACATGTGTTAACCGTTTAAATACTGAGAACCGTTACTTTTAAATGTACTTTTTTTACGATCTACGGATCAATGTACGGGGGAGGGGCATTTCGGCACCTACAAAAACGAATCAAAAGAGAATCGTTAGGCTGTGACTAGCGCGAAGTGATCGTACACTACTCGAGAAAGTGGGGACCGGAAGAAGAAATATGTAAATACTGTTGCTACCCGCGCTGACACGGACGGTTCCATTGCGGAGCGAGTGAGGGGGTGGACAGGACAAGTTGGTTTTAATTTGTCGAGTGCTTCCCCCCTTTCTCCATTTAAACGATTCGACGGTTTTATGTGTTTAGATATTTTCAATCATGTTTGGATTGCTCTCGTAAAACAGTAAGGACGCTAAGGTTTACATAGCGATTA